GTGTGTGTGTGTGTGTGTGTGTGTGTGTGTGTGTGTGTGTGTGTGTGTGTGCGTACGTATGTGCGTGTGTGTGGGTGTGTGTGCGTGTATGCGTGTATGTATGCATGAATGCTACGGATTTCTATTGCTTGCAGGGGTACCGAGATGGCGATGTTGACGGATCACGAACGCCGTAAGCAAATTAGCGTGCGTGGGATAGCGCAGGTCGAAAATGTTGCGAACATCAAAAAAGCATTTAACCGCCATCTGCATTTCTCCCTCATTAAGGTACAAGTTGATTTTGCTCTTCCTGACGAAAAATAGTCTAGACAAGGTGGATGGATGGGCCTGAAAGCGCGAATTAGCATCAAGCATGTTGGAACAATTTTTACTGCTCTGAATGCCTTGCTGTCCCAGAAGACAGGTGTTCCAGTTTTCCCTGCCACTGCTTTCGTTGCCGGCTTCTTGAGGAATAATTTTGTGATAAAAAATGTCTAAACTATTTTTTTGTTTTCAGGATAGAAATGTGGCAACACCGCGTGACTATTATTTTGCTCTGGCAAAAACTGTTCGAGATCATTTGGTGAGCAGATGGATTCGTACCCAGCAGTACTATTATGACAAAGATCCCAAGGTATTCACTATAATTAGTAATATTCTTGTGAAGAACATGTTCGTGAATAACCATCTTCCAGGGCTGATTTTACTTTTTTTAAAAGTCTGTTTCTGTTGAAAAGCACTCAAAAGTGACCATTCGCTGGCAAGGCTGCCGATAGCCTGCTCTGTGAGTGACTGCCTGGAGGCAAGCTAATAACTCCTTGCCATGTATCAGTATCAGTTCCATCGAAAGAATAGTCGAAACGTAGAAGTTTAGTTTTCCCGCTGATGGAATCAAACTATTGAACTGAGTCTAACAGTAACGTTATCTATCGCTGCACTAGGCTCGCCAATTTTATCTGTGTAAAGCTTGATCGCATATTTTTTTTTGGACCAGTCACTTAGCTTTTTTAAAAATTTAGTGAAAATCAATTATTGGGTGCCAGATTGACTAGTGTCTAATTGCCAAATTATAACGGTAATTTGTCAAAAAGTTCAATAATTGGCCAACGCACGGGCTGCCCGTGCGAAGATGCGTTTTTTGCATAGTTCCCCGTAAGTTTTTGTTGCTACCGGCACCGGCTTTTTCGGCAAATGCTTCTAGCTAAACAAATTAAGATTGGCTGCCAGTCTGTCAGAAAACACCCCCCTGAAATTTCAGCTTTCCAGCTTCCCTGGCTCCTGAGTTAA